GCACCCATACGTAGGGCAAAAATTATGTTGGACAGGAAGAATAAAAACAAATTATCTATGTTTTTTAGAGGGGTAGAGCCGGGTAGATGCTGCCCTCCCACCAATCACATGTCGACTATGTAGGACATTATGTTGGACAGACACAGCTGATTGGGCGATGGCCACGATGGTCACGCCGCCGATGGAGGAACCTCCCGAGAGACACGGCACAGCAGCAGCACCCGAGAGACTTCACAGCAGCCACAACACAGCAGCACCCGAGACAACACACGAGAAACCAGCAGGAGCTCAGCAGCAGAGCAGACAAGTGGGCCCGCACCGGGAAGCGGGCCGATAACATGCAGCCATGGCGATTTGTTGTCCCCCTCGCCCTGCTGGTTGGTCTCTTTGGAGCCTTAGACCTCTCCTTGCTGAAGACACGACTGTCCAGGCCGGCAACGTGTGTTTTCGGCAACCCAGAGGCCCCGGTGCTGTGTGCCTCGCCAGACCACGCTAGCAGAATCCGACCCCAGTTCCTGAGCCCTTTCCTTGGCCCGGAGCCCTGGCTGCCAGCATGTGTCGGTAGGGCAACAGCAAACATCGTGTGGCACTACACCAATGCGCTGTATTTCTGGGTTGTTCCGTTCATGCTCTCGTCGGGTCTGCAGACACCGGTCGAGCAATGCATCCCGGGCCTTCTAGTGAATCTCTACCCAGTCATGTTTGCGGTATCGCAGGCGGCGCCAACGCCCACCCCTGTGGTCCAGAGCGCTACTGCGGTCCAGAACCCCCACAATGCGGAGGGGGGGATAGCACGTGCTGAAGACGAAGCACGCCCCACACCTGTTCCTGTCGTCGCGGTGGGTTCCGCCGCACGGCGAGGGCCAGGGTGTCCTACGGGTAGTAGGAACAGGAAAGGATCCCAACGGCCAGGACCGAACGACAGGACTGCGTCAAGACAGGAAGCCGTCCGCAAGACGCAAAGGATCGACACCATGTTCTCACGGGAATCACCCACCCCTGGTCCTGTCAACATATCATCCCGAAGTGCCCCCGCCCCTTCCGTGGGGCCCAGCAGCGCACCTCAACAAAGTTCAACTTCGTCTACCAGCGGAAGCGGGAGTGGTGGCGGCAGCAGCAGCAGTGGTAGTGGCAGCGGGGGCGGGAGCAGCTGTCCGAGTATGCGCCCGCAGTCCGCGTGGATCGACGAGGTCAAGAACACGGTCAAGAAATGTAGGAAGCAGGTGAATGGCAAGGTATCGCGCATCAACCCTTTTCCCTACAACGGAGGATGGGCGCACCCTCCTCTACCTTCGCTGCACAAAGGCGCAGGTCAGTCGCTTGTTCACAGCATGTTTTGC